TGGAAAATAATGTGTTTTTTGAACCTTAAACCGCATAAACACATTTCATTACACCAAATAATGATGTTCTTTTTAACAACATATATGACCCCTTTAATAAAAAAAAAAAAAAAGTTTTTAATAGGTCAACATTTGAATGGCACAGAGTGATCAGCTGAACTAAACAAATGGTGAATATGGCTGGACAATATATTGTAAAAATACAAATAAAAAAATAAAATAGATTCAAATATAAATAAAGTAAAAATAAGTAAAAATATATTAAACTCTTAATGATATCCAATGTTCTGATACAAATAATGTAGATTAAATGTTTAATGCAAAAAAATTTTAATTAATAAAAAAAGTTAAATCAATGTTATTGTTTTATTGTAATTTATTACATTGTATTTTACTAAATATTATACACATTTTTTATATAGAAACTCTTTACACACTGAAAAACATTTACCTATATAAAATGTCATGTGAAGACTTCTGTGAGCATGAAAACTAACTTAAAAAACAATTTTAAATTAATTTTAAACAATTTAAAAAATGTACGATTATTTTAAAATATATAAGACACTTAAGATTCTTTACGGCCTTTTGGGAAATTTTAATAAGTGAATTTAAAACATTTTAAACTTAAAAACCCATTGACACCCTACTGTATATCTGTTAGAAGCTCAGCAAAAGTTGTCATCCAACGTTTTTATGCAGAGTCAGTTTCTGAAGCAAAGTGAGCCAGAAGAGAGAGTATCATACCTAGTGAGGTTGCCTTCATAACTCCTGTCTCCCTGCTGGTATTCCTGCCTTTTCTTCCTCAGGGCAGATGGGACATGCACTCTTTCTCTGATTGGGGCATCACTTTTACTGCCTTCTGCCATCCTGAAGCAATGTTCCGCTTCTGCGTCACTACCGCAACCTGGGAGAACACAAGAGGGTAAAAGAAAAATGATGAACAAACAAGATCAACAGTCAAGCGAGATGTCAAACAAACCTCACATATTTGTGCGCGTATTCTGTGAAGAGGTCTAGACTAGAGCAGTTACGTGTTAAGTGTTCTTTTATTACTTACGGTTTACTGGAATAATCTCTTAGAAAGTTACAAAAGTTGTCATCCAACATTTTTATGCAGAGTCAGTTTCTGAAGCAAAGTGAGCCAGAAGAGAGAGTATTATACCTAGTGAGGTTGCCTTCATAACTCCTGTCTCCCTGCTGGTATTCCTGCCTTTTCTTCCTCAGGGCAGATGGGACATGCACTCTTTCTCTGATTGGGGCATCACTTTTACTGCCTTCTGCCATCCTGAAGCAATGTTCCGCTTCTGCGTCACTACCGCAACCTGGGAGAACACAAGAGGGTAAAAGAAAAATGATGAACAAACAAGATCAACAGTCAAGCGAGATGTCAAACAAACCTCACATATTTGTGCGCGTATTCTGTGAAGAGGTCTAGACTAGAGCAGTTACGTGTTAAGTGTTCTTTTATTACTTACGGTTTACTGGAATAATCTCTTAGAAAGTTATTTGAGAAACCAGGATATTCTTGCAGGCTACATGATGCCACGGTCTTATTTTTAATGCGTGTATAGTTCGTATCTTTTAAACAGCACATTATTTTGCTTTGGCATTAACATTTCAGTATCATGACAACCCTAGAGCACCCCACAGTCTTCCATCCTTCAATTGGCAGCAGCTCTATGCATTACAGAATGGGTGTGGAACGATCAAGAATGTCACACTTACGTGAATGGATGGGGCGAAGGGACAAGGTCTAGGTAGCGAACTTTCATTACCAAGTGTTTGAGAGATGCAATATCGAAGTCACAAAGTAAACAAGACATTGTGATTTTGGTGATAACACTTGGAGATATTAAAGCAACAGTATGGACCATCATGTCCTGAAGCAAATGTTTGATGATTTTGCTCATTTGAGGTAAAGAAATAATTGGTACACTTAGATGCAACCTAATAAATCGGTTAATAATCTGATCAATGGCTCAATGGGACTGAAAAGCATTCATTTAAACACCTCAGTTGATCCAAATGAGCTTGATTGTAATGCAATTTCAATCTGATTAAAAGGGGTGGTGTAGATCTTAATTTGTTAAAAATGAAAATAGCCATGTAAACCTACTGCAAAACCACTTTCTCAACTGGATTCAAAAATACCTTGTGCACATGCACAGGGTCATGATATGTATGTTTATCATGATATGTATGATCTGTTTGATGGTTTTGTCAGAAGTCTCTTGTAAATGTAGTCTTATAAGACTATTTATTTGATCAAAAACATAGCAAAAATATTAACATTGTGAAATATTATTACAATTTAAAATATCACATGACCCTTCAGAAATCATTCTAATATGCTGACTTGATGCTCAAGAAACATGTTTTTTTTTTTTTCAGGATTCTTTGATGAACAGAACATTTAAAAAAAAAAAACAGCATTTTTTTCATACATTTGTGTAACAAATGTAAATGTCTTTACTGTAACATTTAATCCATTTAATGCATCCATGCTGAATAAAATTACACTTCTAAAAATAAAAATAAAACTTCCCGACCTAAAACTTCTGAAGGGGTGTTAATAAACAGTACTTTCAAAATCTGAAATGTGATTGGATTCAGACAGATTGATGAAAATCAGTGCATGTTAGCACACTCATTGTCCACTGCAAAGTTCCCAGAGTGACGGCCAAATCAAAAAGAGCACACAAGTACAGTAAAAAGGGTATTACACAATTAATAACACCAACAGACACACACATCCAGTCTTACCTTCACTGTCGGCTCTAAGTGTGCAGTCTGAAGCCACACTGAGTGTGCGAGACTCCACTGAGTCCAGGCTCTCGACTGAGTCCTCCCTTCTGTAGCCCGACTGCTTCAGACTGAACAGATCTTCCCTGTCAGAAAACCAGCCCTCCGCGTACCCACTGTCCCTCACACTTGACTTAGACTGCACAGACTCCTCCAGAGCCTGGAAGAAAGTGAATAAAGAGCCAAAACTTCAGAGAGGGTTGAAAAGTGAGTTTTAACGAACAGACTTGAGCTCCAGTAGACTTTTACAGTGGTTTTTCATTTTACTGAATGAAGAAATTACCTACATACGGAGTAATATGTCAGCCAGTTCATTGATAATTACTATGCGGGGCCCGACAACACTGACTTACGCTTGACTGAATCATTTTAACAGTAGCCAAAACTAATGGGAAGTTCTGGACCTGCATGATGTCCTTTGTAAAACACCAAATCACACGAGACTCAATTGTAACATCCTCCTATTTGAGTAATGTAATGATTCTAACTAGCGAGTGGCTTGTTTGTCTTATGGATCTATTGCAATGCATAAACACTTAATAGAAATTAAATTGTAAAAACTTGAGAAGGTATTTTAAGCTATAGACATCAAATAGATATTTTATCATTTTTATATATTTTTTTATTTTTTATTATGAATTTGTATCATTTATGCAACAAATCTCAGACTTACACCCTTGTTTATTTTATAAATATTTACTATAATAATAATAATAATAATAATAATAATACTACTGTTAAAAAAAAATCACTTAAGGTATAAAGCTAAAAACACATCAAACTGACATTTCATAATTTGCACAACTCTAAGATCCACATCCACATTATATAAATATTTTATATAATAATAATAATAATAATAATAATAATAATATTTAAATATTTAAAAAATGTAAAAAGGTATTTTATGCTATAAACACAACATATTTTATTGTTTGTGCAACAACTCTCAGACATGTTCATCTTTACTTTATAAATATTTAATACAATAATACTAGTCATATTTAGTATTATTAAATATTACAATTATTTAAAAGTAAATTCATTACTTTGAAGGCATTTTACACTATAAACAAAACAAAAAAAACCCCTGACATTTCTAATTTTACTTTTGTGGAAAAACACTGATAATTACATCTTTGTTTAATTTATATAATAATTTTAAAAATTAAGAAAAAAATAATAAAATTAAAAACAAAAGAAAAACTATGTAAAAGTTTAATTTTATTAAAAGGTATTTTAGGCTATAAACACATCAACTTACATTGCACTTCCATTGCAAAAAAATCACGTCAAAAGTAAATACCTTAGATAATGCTGTGCCCAGCAAACCTTCAAAGGCTTTTAGATTCAGCTGTGGTCCAGTGTAAAACGGATCAGACTGGGCCTTCCTCCCCAACCAGTATATAGTTATCAAAACCTGTATGTAATAACATGATAGAAAGAGAGAGAGAGAGAAAAAAAAAGACTTTAAACAAATGACAAAATATAATTTAAAACAAAGATGAAAAGAAACTTGAATCTGTAATTGTCTTTTTCCTAATTAACATGTAAAGATTAATTTATAATTTCAATATTTAAATAACAACAAACAAGTTTTAACATGAGATGACACAAAAGCCTCTGAGAATTCAGTGTTGTGCGTGGCATGAATGGCTTCTGTGTCCCAGTTACATTCCTGTTCTCATTTAGAAAACTATGACTGTTTACACACACACACACACAGTGGTGCCTGTTGGATCTCTAAGATGAATTATTCTAATGAGGAATCAAATATTAGCAAATCAACATATTACCAATAAAACAAAGATGCCTGGCAGATGGGTACCTGCAGATGCTGCGGTTCCAGTTCAAATTCCTTTTACATGTTCAAACCTCTTATTAGAAATAATGCCATCATCAGTACCACTTATCTTTTTCCCCAAAATATGACTTACTCTGAAACAATCACGAGTGCACTGGAAAACAATCGGAGACTTGTGAGCATATAAGTGAGCTATTTGAGAACCATATGGAGGTGTAAAACTAAAACACTTTTCTAAATTAAACAATTGTTCATATTTCAAAATGCTGGTCTTGAATTGAGTCATTAATCCATATAGTGCATGCAAAGCAGTGCTTTAAGTGGCTTTAAATGGCACCCTAATAACACCTACAGCAGAAGAGCGCAATGAGATAAAATGACAAATCAACTTGTTTGGTATGCAAACTAAAGAGTCAAAGGCCAAATTGAGTTCACATTAAAGACAAGCCATGCACCTTCTGGTACATGCACCTTTCTGGACTCACTTGATGGACCATTTAGTTCAAAAGTTATTGGTTAGCGATTAAGAACAAGCTTTTAATAGCAGAAAAACTTACATTTTTCAGTCTCCTGCTTGTCTCTTCACGTCTAAGCAGAAGGAGAGAAGGATGTTAAATGTGATGAACATTCACTGTCAGACACTCCGATCAGTTCCAGCTCACACTAACAGTACCAGCAACTAAATCCACCCCATACCCTCCAATAAAATTGTCATTTCTATAAATGGACCTCAACTACATATACCACATAAGCTTTACAGTAAGTCACTAATCATGTACACTGATTTGAATTTACAATAAGCATTATATATAAAACTTGCAGTGCTTATTTAACAAAGGCAATCAGCAAGTGCTCAAAAGAAACTCTTAACTATCTGACAGTGGAACATACTTGTTCCCACAGCATGCTGACGCCGGACATGTGAGCCATCCGTCTGTCAACATGAACTAGCAAATATGGTTTTACAAAGGAATTCAGCTATTTAAACACCAGATGCACATTACACAAAAGCGTCATGCTACCTTAAAAATAAGTCAGACAGGCTATAAGAAAACAGAACTTGAGCTGCGGTTCTGAGGTTATTACAGTAAGTGAAAGTGTGTATGTTATTTCATTGAGCCCTAAACCAACATGACCGCGAGAAAGTATGCAAGTTAAAAATAGCAGTCAGATCCACTATAGCGTCACCATAGCATTTGGTTTGAAGGGATAGTCATATGGAGCTAAATTTAGAGGTCACTGTGCCCCCCTTCCACCCTCTCGCACCCCTCGTCCCTCTACAAGGCCAATGGTGGGGACTTTAAGCTCTCAGCGGGATGGACAACATGATTTATTGAGTTTTTGAAGGTTGAGTCAGGACCTGGAGAATGAGGCTGTGTGATGAAATTCACAGAGCAAGAGTCGGGACTGAAATTAGTTATTGGAAATTCCATATGGTTTTGAAATATCTTTTTGTATTGATAGGGAGAGAAGAGCGGTGGTACTCAAACAGAACGTCGGAGCCTACAATAACAAATTATTATTAATATATTAAAAATCTAACTGAAATCATATTTCTTCCATATGGGGGGGGGGACACATATTATTGAACAACAGGGGGTCTTCAAGTCAAAATGGTTGAGAACCACTGTAGTAGAGAGAGGACAAGAAACAAGTTAAAAGAAATGGAAAACAGAATATTACACAAGCCAAACTAAAACTCAATGTCCACGTGAGCACCGTAGCTCAACTTCTAACCACAAAGCCATACTTAAGACAACTAATGCATGTATTAAATGATCTATTTCTTCTAAATATCTACACAATGTTATTCCAAAAGAAAACGTTTGTCTTTGTAATCTTTTCAACTCGTCCTGCTTCTAAAACAACTTGGATTTTAGGATGGCATCACCAAGCCCTCTTATTTTTAAACCCCTTTTCTCCAATCACACGTGATATAGATCGATACAACTTTTACAATTCCATCGAAAGCAAACTGAGCCATGAACGCCATTTCAAGTTGACTAATGTTTAACCCCAAGAGTGGTTATGCTCCGAATACATCTTCTCTGGCCCTGATCATAATAATGACAGACCATGTGTCAATGTGTCACGACTGACTGCTCTGCCATTTAAATGCCATCAGATTTTATTCAAAATACATTTCCATAAGGCAACTTGATTAAAACATAGGTCTATGTTGGACAGATAATGTGTGACAGGACCCATCCAGCCTTTCATTTGGTATTTAAATGTAATCGGACTACAAACACTATTCAAATGAACCCTCTTCCTGCAGGCATATAAAAGACTTACTTCTTTCTTTATATTCACATAAACAGCTAAAGCAGTAAAAGAGTTTAAATACAGATAGATAGGTTTGCATCAGATGTTTAAGGCTTACTGAATTAAACAAATACAATGCAAACGAGACATTCGAAAGCACAGGCAACAAATCCAACTTTGACAGTTCATAACAGATCAACCATTTACTGCATTGCAGTGCAACAAAGGGGAAAAAACGGCAATAAGAATTTCTGCTTTCATTTCCCTCTGCTCACCTGACAGTCACACGTGTGGACACATCTTGCAGGTCTCCAGGATGGAAGAGCTGTGCCTCATTAAGCCCTAGTTTCTCACAAGCCCTGAGAAACACATTCACGTTGTCCTGAAGAGAGACCAGTATTGACTATTGCAGCTAGTGTAAATGAAAAGGTAGACATCCTCAATTCTTAACCACCCAGTGAAATAATACAGTTGAGACAGTAGAGAAGGCAAAGAGCTTGGATGGCGAATCTCCACTGAGAACAGACCAGCACAAGAGATGGACTAGTTGATCAGAAAACGGGTGGGAACTGAAGGAGACAGTTGTCAGGCACTATCCCACACATTCTCAGCATTTACTACTGGAATGCTCTGGACTCACATGGGAACATTTCTTTGCATTTGCACTATGTATATACAAGTTTTCCGGAATCATTTGATAATAAAAGAGTCGTTTCATTAGAGACTAGCTAGTTGACTAATTCATAATTCTAAGATAAATCCACATTTAAAATATGCTCACCAAGCCTGCGATGGGAGTGGAGAGTCTGTTCACTCGTTTGATGATGCCTGGCTTCAATGTGTTGATTAGACTGAAAACAGACAAAAAATATATTTTAAATAAACCTAAAACAAAATAAAAATTTGCTAATCAATACATTGTTGTGCTTAAAGAAATAAAAGAATCATTGAAAATATAACTTACTCGCACAGAAGGACCCCGTCCTCTAAGGCCACTCGAAAGCTTTTACTTCCAAACTGCTTTTTCGTCACTTCCTGTTAAGGAAAGAACCAAAACAGATCACATGCACAAACTGGGACTAACAACATATAAACTGCTCTTTTTAACTTTTTATTCATCAAAGAATCCTGAAAAAACAAAACAAAAAAAAAAAGTATCACAGGTTCCAAAAAAAAAACAAAAAAAAAAAACTGTTTTCAATACAGTATATCAGCATATCAGAATGATTTCTCAAGGATCATGTGACATTTGAGACTGGAGTAATGGAAAATTCAGTTTTCAGCTTTGCTACCATAGGAAATAAATTACATTTACAAAGTATATTAAAATAGAAACCCATTATTTTAAATTGTAATATGTCATGATATTACACTTTTTACTGTATTTTTGATCAAATAAATGCAGCCTTGATGAACAAAAGACTTTTCAAAAACATTACAAGACAATATTACAGGCCTTATGAACTGTGTAAGTGTATAGAATTAGAACATATTATATATAATACTTTATTAACAAAAACAAAAGCAAATCCTGTCAGCAACACACAGATTACAGAGTAAGAATTCATTTCATTGAGTGAATGTCCACAGACAGGAAACCCACAGGCCCTCTCAAAAACATGGCATGCTACTTTCCACACATTTCAGAGCACATTCTGATCTTCAGTCATCATATGCAATAGCACACCACATAATTGATGTTCCTGCCATTAAAAAAGCAAAACAAACTGTGAGCAAAATCAACAAAAAATTCTCTCCTAAAATTCTCGCTCTTTTCATACTGAATCCGTTTCAGTCAAATGATCATCAATTAAGTCATCCTATCCACACATTATAATTGTGCACATTCAAACAGGACCTCAGATTATGCCACACAGTACACATGTTTGGAGACTGAGGTGCCCAAGCAGAGCACCTGACTGTAACATTATTGTTGATATAGGCTACTTCAAGAAAATTGTTAAAACAAAATCATTGCAGATCCAGGCTGCTTTTATCAAATTAAGTAATTTTTTATACTACTACAGTAATAATAATAATAATAGATATCAATAAAATAATAGCTGAAATTCAGCAGTGATTTTGAGTTTCACTGTTGGAAGCATATTAAGCTGTAACTTAAACACGTAAAAAACAGTAAATATGTATTACAGACAATCAATTGTGGTGAAGATTAGACAGAATGTGCAGAATAATCACATCTAGCAGTTCTGCAATAGTATACAGATCTTTGCTTTGGTTGTGTAATATATCAGTAGCATCTAATCTAACAACCATTTGCGATTTGGGTGACACCAAAGAACAAAAAACCCACCACCAGAGAAAAGTGACTCTGAACGGGTTAAAATGAACTTCCATCACCTCCATGTTTGCAACCCCGAATGCTTAATGTAATTCATAACACTGCGCACCTGTTGCACCCTACAAGCATCTCAAGTGGAATGACTCAAAAACTTACCTGCTAGCCCCTGTTTCAATTGTGTATTGATTTCCTGCAAGTACTCTTAAATTTCACTTCCCAGATGCCTCGACTCGAAAGCGCAAGGTGTTTCCCTCTAAGTTACCAGTGCGCGTGCCTCCAACACAACTCTTTTAATCTGTTGCAAACATTGCTCTTCGATTTCACACCTTGAAGTCCCTGCAGGCGACTGGATCGTGCAGCTCTCCTTCCACCAAACATGCGTGTTGTAGTGAGCAAGAACAGAAAAGTCCCCGTTCGGTAATGAGACAGAGGCGGCGAGCGCAGCACAGGACAGTTTGCGTGTTTGCAGAGGCAAGTGCATGTAGTGATGATGAGTTGCTTATATATGCCACGCCCCCTGCTGCTTTAAAGAGTGATGACATGGGCTCGCGTGCTATGGCAGCAATGACCAGCAGATAGAGACAAAGATTCACTTCAACAGCGTTGTCATCTTGTTGAACGAAAGGGCCCAAACATTTTTTTCACTACATTTTAGCACTTTAACCCTTAACAATGTGTCTAGTTATGCAAGCACAGTCAGGGGAAGTCAGTTAAATTTTAATTTTTTGTTTGTTTCAAATCAATGAAATTATTTTATAAAAATGACCGCACACATTCAGCTAACATAAATGTGTTGATAAGCTTTACCATGAAAATGAAATCATAATGAGTATTTTATCATTTCAATTTTTATTTGGATATGAACACAGGTGCTGGTTTGATTTTGTGGAAACTAGTCTAGCTGATCTATGACCAGAAAAGAAAAGAAAAACCTTAGCATACATGTTAGGTCTGAATATGGACTGTGGTCTGCACTGCTAAGTGCTTTTAACCTCACAGATGAGTTTTGGGCAGAACACTGATGTATCAGGCTACGCCACAATATCATCAGAGATCTGTATAATAATTATTGACAGACCTTATTTGGCCCACCTGCTGTATGTGTTAAAGGAATATTATAATTTTTAAATTGTATTATCATTTATTTACCCATGGATGCAAACTTGTAGGTTTATATATTTCCATAGACAGTAAAAAAAAAAAAAATGTTTCATGAATTTTCACAAATGTCTTTTCCACACAGTTTACTGATGCCTGTTAAGCTCCAGAAAGTCCCAAAAAATATATAAATATAATGCATATACGCATTTGATGCAGTTCAGTAAGATGCAATTGCAACAGTTTGTTGCAACAGTAACATGCTTATAACTTACATTAAGAGGTGCTTTCAACAGCTGGAACTAAAACAGGAAGTGCTTCATCCAGCTACAGGAAGTGTTAACCAAAGGTGGAGCAATGTATAAGCCTGTCTGCCCACTGGTTTCCTGTGTGACTAGTCTGCTGTCAGACAACCAACAGTTTATCACACTATTGTTGTCATCTGATGTGATTAAGAGAGCAATAGGTTTCAAAGCATGCTAGCAGCTCATCACAGGATGTTGGTGAAAGGTGTCCTCTACTGTTGATCTATAAGTTTTGCCGTTTCACTTGTGATAATAAAAATAAGTGAAGAAATCTGGTGATATATATTTGAATGCACTTTTTGTCAAATAAGTTGGTTGTCTTGTATATAGATGTTCTAATAAGAGAATACAGCATAACATAGCATCTTATGGTGAATGTGTTGCACATCAGATGCTCCGATTGCAGTCTTCTTTTGTTTAAAAGGCCAAATGCATCTATGAAGGTGTAATAAATGGGTTGAATAAATGAAGTCAATTAGCATTTTCTATGTTCTCTAGCAATAGAGCAAAGATTTATATATCTCTGTACTTGGGTCAGTCAGAATTTATTTATTGTGTGTGTGTGTGTGTGTGTGTGTGTGTGTGTGTGTGTGTGTAACTCATTTACTCGCTTCACCTATTTAAAAGTAAACGAAATAAAAAGGAAAAAAAAAAAAAGAGCAATTTTCTTTATCTTTGTGCAAGAGCTAAATTGGAAATCCAAAATTACAACAAAACCTGATGTCTGTGTGTACCTACTTAACCATATTTTGGGGACAAATTTGTACCCAAAAGTGAGTTAATCCTGACAAAATCTCAAAAACCTCCCTTTGGGGATGTCCTCATTTGTAAACCTGGTATAAAAATAAAGTAAACAAAGTTTTTTTTTTTTTTATTGTAAAAATGCAGAAAGTTTCCTGTAAGGGGTAGGTTTAGGTGTAGGGTTGGTGTAGG